GCGAAGGAACGGCAATGTATTTCCAAGTCAGATGGTCAGTGGCTTGGAGGGCAACTTGCAGGGGGTGGCGTTCCCATGTGGTTCCATGTTGCTGCCCTCTACAAACGTCCAATGCACGCCAACACTAAGGATGTCATGGTGGCTGGAATGGCCAAAAGTTCTGAAGAAGAGTCACTTGAAATGTCAGTTTCTGTCTCCACGGATGTGGCCAGACCTGTTGAGTTTCTGCAGAATTCTCTGTGTTTGTTTCAGATTTCCAGCAGTATTCTGCAGAAGAAGTGTCCTTGCATTGCCTGGCTACCTGAAGCCCTGAAACTATGAGTGCTCCATGTCTAAGCTCTGCAGGCAAGCTGTCTTGCTTACATTGGGACTGCTGTTCAAACTGGCACTGCTGAAGGAAGTAGATTGCAATGGTCACTGTCATCGAGTTACACCTTTCCATAAGAGCTCCTAAATCCTGAAAACATTCACTGAACATGAGATTTCACTCCAAAGGAGCTTAGCAAAATCATGCAAGATATAACATTGAATAACATAGCAGATACATTCATGAGATAAGGGTGGCACTGGCTAGGCCAGCATTTATTGCTCACCTGAAATTGCCCATTGGCAGTTGAGAGTCAACCATATTGTTGTAGGAGCAAATTACTGCAGATGCTGGAATCTGTACTGAAAACACAAAATGCTGGAGATCACAGCAGGTCAGGTAGAATTCACGGACAGAAAGCAAGCTAACGTTTTGAGTTTAGTTGAGTCTGATGAAGAGTCATCTTGGTTTATTAGCTTGCTTTCTCTCAATGGATGCTGCCTGACTCACATTGCTGTGGGTCTGGAGTCACGTGTAGGCCAAACCAGGTAAGGATGACAGATTCCTTCCCTAAGGGACATTAGTGAACCAGACAGTTTTTCCAACAATTGGCAATGGATTTAGACTCCTAATCCTTGTGGAAATAGTATGTTTTTTAAAACTATAATGAACTCTAATAGCAAGGAGTCATCACTGCTGTCAGAACTTGTGATCAAAGCCATGGAAAGCCATGTCAACTCTGTTAACCACTCTCTTCAAATTGAAACCGGATTCTCTGCCCAGTTGTTGCTTTGTGTCTTCCTTCAAGCTGATAGTGATCTGTCCTCTCCTCTGCAGTTGCTTCTCAAACAATTTCAGTTTTGCTTCAAAAGCTATTACATGGCTTAGAAAATGATCTGCTGCTTTTGCTGTCATGCTGTAGTTTCAGATACATTTTATGAGAGTGAATTGTCAAATTTATCAGAGCAGACAGGTTCACCACAAATAACATGGTGAAACTATGTTCTATCCATTCAGCAGTGTTATGATCTCGTTGCACATAAGCCAAAAAATCTTGTTTCATCTTGTTTCAATTAATAAAAGAACGTCCATGGAGAATACAACATCCATGTACTTATTCCCTGTTTCTTCAATAAAACTAAAAGGTAAACCATTTAGGATTGAGACGAGCAGAATGTGTTCACCCAGAGAGTGGTGAGCCTGTAAAATTCTCTGCTGCAGAAAGTAATTAAAAACAAAACAGCGAATGTTTTCAAGGAGGAGCTAGATATAGTTCTTAAGGCTGAAGAGCTCAAAGGATATAAGGGAAAAGCACCAATGTGCCATTGAGTTGGCTGATAGTATTGAATGGTGGAGCAGGCCTGAATGGCCTATCCCTGCTCCTATTTCCTATGTTTCTAGATGAAACTCACAAATGACTTCAGGTCAAACTGAGTCCAAACATAACAGCAGAAATAACACGGTGTATAACTGATTGCTGTTCAGTTACCATCAAAGATACAATGCTGGGCGATCACACTAACATTACCTGCTACTTAAAAACCACACTTCTTTTTATTCACTTGTGGGACACAGGCATTGCTGCTGCCCAGCATTTATTGCCCGTCTCTAGTTGCCCTTTGAGAAGGTGGTGGTGAGCCACTTACTTGGACCACTGCGGTCTACCTGCTGTGGGTTGAGCCGCAATGCCCTTAGGGAGGGAGCTCCAGGATTTTGACCCAGTGACAGTGAAGGAACGGCGATATATTTCCAAGTTCCTGTGTATCTGCTGCCCTTGTCCTTCTAGATGGAAGTGGTCGTGGGTTTGGAAGGTGCTGTCTGAGGATCTTTGGTGAATTTCTGCAGTGCATCTTGCAGATAGTACACACTGCTGCTACTGAGCGTCGGTGGTGAAGGGAGTGGATGCCTGTGGATGTGGTGCCAATCAGGGGGCTGCTTTGTCCTGGATGGGATCAAGCTTCTTGAGTGTTGTTGGGGCTGCACTCATCCAGGAAAGTGGGGTGTATTCTATCACACTCCTGACTTGTGCCTTGCTCAATGGTGGACTGGCTGTGGGGAGTCAGGAGGCGCACTGTGGATGCAGGATTACGATCTGTTGCTAATTCGTCCTGTGGACTGTTGACTGCCTAGTCCACAGTTATTTATTACTCCATTCATATTCAATGCAGTGTGAGTTTCTCCTGTGCTGTAGCAGGGAGAAGCCATGAGCCCTATACTATATTGGGCACGGCCTTAGATTAGGATGACAGGAGGCGGCACATTTGGAAACCTGGTAGGCCAGGTTTTCCTAAACACCACAGAGTTCTAACGCCATGGGGTGCCCTGCACGTTTTGCCAAAAGATTCCCCATTCTGACACCAGCTGGTCAGTCACATCAGCACAGAAGCAGCTCAGTGGGTGGCAGTTGCTGGGTACAATCAGGTCCAGAGAGTTAAAAGTGACGGGAAGAGACTTAGAGGTGATGGACAGTGTGGAGGTTGGTTTAGTAGTTGCAGAGAGGAATCAGCACTGGGGGAGGCGTTGGGGGTAGATTGTGGAGTTGGGGGTTGTTTGTAGGGCAATCAAAATGGCAGATGGGTTGGGTGCTGTGGTCTAGGCTCCAAATATGAAGGTGTCAGTGGACAGTGGAATTTAATAGAGGTTCAGTCACAAGGGACAGAAGGGGCTTGATCCTAGAGAGAGGAGTAGACTGGACTGCACTCCAGCTGCAGTGCTGGGGAGGTACTTAGTCCATTTTGCAGTTTTTGCCTTCCTGTTAATTGCTGTGTTTTCCATGGATCAGGAAATAAAGTTGGGGAAAGATAAAGCCGGCAGCCTCATCAGATTACAAACCTGTCTCCTCGGAGCAGCTTTAACATTCCTGTCTCTGATAAAACTGGAATGGGGGGGCACTGAAACAGACTTGATTTGAATTTTAGATTTAAAATCTGTTGCATTCCACCTGACCCAGGTCCACCCATATCTGATGCTGCGCAAGTAGATTTTGCCAAGATTTCTAACTTGTCTTCTTTGATCTTGGAACAAGTGAATCTTCAACAGCACATTGCTATGTTGGATAACAATCTGCCTTCTTTACTGCTGCAACAGTAGATTTACAGATCAGGCTTGATCCAGCATTCTTTGCAGGTAAACACTGTAGGGGCCAAACCCACTGCACATGTTATAACATAGTGTGGAGCTGGATGAACACAGCAGGTGAGGCAGCATCAGAGGAGCAGGAAAGCTGACATTTTGGGTCTGGATCCTTCTTTAGAAAATTTTCTGAAGAAGGGTCCAGACCTGAAACGTCAGCTTTCCTGCTCCTCTGATGCTGCCTGGGCTGCTGTGTTCATCCAGCTCCACACCTTGTTATCTCAGACTCCAGCATCGGCAGTTCCTACTATCTCCCACTGCATACGTTAGCTTGCTATCTCTCCATCAATGCTGCCTGACTCGCTGTGATCTCCAGCATTTGTTGTTTTCAGGACAGATTCCAACATCTGCAGTAATTTGGTTCCACATTTGAAACCTTTGCTTGGTTCTGCAGATTCAATTTAATGTGAAGTCCAACTTCATCCCTTTGCTACTTGATGGAAACATGAATGACAAAGGAGCCCTGTCACTTCAACATGAAGACTTGTGTGGACTTGGCACTGGAGGGGGTGCAAAGGAGGTTCACCAGGTTGATTCCGGAGTTGAGAGGGTTGGCTTATGAGGAGAGACTGAGAAGATTGGGATTATATTCATTGGAATTCAGAAGATTGAGGGGGGATCTTATAGAAACATATAAAATTATGAAGGGAATAGATAAGATAGAAGTAGAGAGGATGTTTCCACTGCCAGGTGAAACTAGGACAAGAGGGCATAGCCTCAAGATTAGAGGGAGCAGATTTAGAACTGAATTGAGAAGGAATTTCTTCACCCAGAGGGTTGTTAATCTATGGAATTCCTTGCCCAGTGAAGTAGTTGACGCTACTTCAGTAAACGTTTTTAAAAAAAAGGTAGATTTTTTTTGAACAATAAAGGAATTAAGGCATACAGTGAGAATGCGGGTAAATGGATCTAACTCCACGAAAAGATCAACCATGATCTTATTGAATGGCGGAGCAGGCTCGAAGGCCTACTCCTGCTCCTAGTTCTTGGGTTCTTGTGTTGTGTTGACTTGTTGGGCCGAAAGGCCTGTTTCCACACAGTAGGGATTCTATGAAAGGATTCTATGAAATGAAGACTGTTACATTGTGTGTTCACATCACTGGGAGGCTATGGCCTTATATTAGCTTAGCTTTTACTGTTGACCCTTCTTCTAGGATTGAGTAGTGTGCAGAACATGCCTTTGGGAACCAAATGCTTTTATGCCCGATGATCCAACTGGCAATTCATTTCACACTATGTGCTACTGCAGGAAACCTATCTGTCACTGAGTATGACACAGGGTTAAACAGGATATCAATTTACTGTGTGGTTGAAGCGTCACGCCCAGCTTCGTTCCTTTGCACCCATTCGCTGATACTGGAGATGATCAGTGAAAGAGCGGAGTCAGATCATTGAAACACTGGGACAGATGCTAGAAAACAACTCGCACTTTGGCACTTGCCATTTGCAAACGATAATGACAATGGCAGGTAGTCTTATAAAACTATCCATTTCAAAATTCAATAATAAGATTTATAATTCAGATTGTCAGCTCCAGAAGAAGTTAATAAAAACAGCTTACCTGGTATGCCAGAGGGCTGGTCAGTAACTTAGCAACAGGACCGCACCATGCTGGTAAAGTTGTTGTGAGTGGTGGACCAGAATGTGTCAAGGCTGGCTTTAAGTATCTTGAGGCTTAGTTAAGGAAGGAATTTGAATCTAACAACACACATATTGTAAAGGACGCACTGACCGAGTGTCACATTTACTCATTACAGCTCAGTTGGCAGGATGGCTGGTTTGTGATGCAGAGTGATGCTAACAGCATGGGTTTAATTCCCACACTGGCTGAGGTTACCGTGAACAACCCTCCTTTTTAGGGTCGACGGACCCGAAACGTTAGCTCTGATTTGTCTTCACAGGTGCTGCCAGACCTGCTGAGCTTTTCTAGCAACTTCTGTTTTTGTTTCTCCTTTTCAACCTCTCCCCTCGCCTGAGGCACGGTGACCCTCAGGTTAAATCAGCACCAGCTGTCTCTCTTTAATGATAGCGTGGGATGTTGGTGGATTTTACCTTTCGCATTATTACATCAAGGGAAAGCAAAGGATCACTGCAGTGACTGAAACGCATTTGGTTTATGTGACAAATTTCTGAAAATTCCTGTGAAATGGAGCTGCAGATGGCTGCTTTCTCTGGGGATACAGGAATGAACTTCATTATTGCTCGACAAAGGGCCACAGTATGAAAAGCGTTTGGGGGAGCAGAGATGACTGGGATCTTGCCCAATGGTTACAGAATCAGCAAGCGTCCCATCTCTCATCTTTTCAATAAGTGTTGCTAATCAAGTGTCTCTCAGGCACTGACCTGGACAGCATCGGAGTTTCACTGGATCTGAGGGGTGGAGCAGGAAGGCTGAGGGTGAGGATTCTTCTTGTGGACTTCGTAAGGGTTTGTTCTAGTTTTTAGCATCTGCCCTGAGTGTAGTTGCGCAAACCCATGAAGTTGAATCCATTCTGTCAGATGTGTATATGAAGTCAGAATGCTATATTTTATGCAGAAAGGTCTGTATGAACACAGATGTACGCACGGGGTGTTATAGTAAATCTGATTCAATTCAATACAAGGTTCACAGCCAAAGCTGTGATGTCAGATTGTGTACAATTGTTCTCATTCACCTGTTCTTTTGTCTTACTTTAAGTCCAATGCTGAAGTAGGCCATTCAGCCCATCAAGTCTGCTCCACCATTCAATGAGATCATGGCTGATCTGAT